AAAAGAAAAGAAAGAAAGAAAGGAAAGAAAAAAATGAAAATTGGGTTCATTTTGGGTTTTGTTGCACAAATATATATATTTAAGCAGCTGTTAGGTGCAAGGCATTATGGCCTAAGGGGAGGTTGTTTGGATATTCATAATGGAACGAGATTCCTAGAATATAGAACAAAGCTGCAATGTTTAAACCATTTTTCTAAACTTTTGTGTAATTCAGCATGGAGGTCATTGAATCTTCTTTCTCATCTGTGCCTATTATAAGTCCAGTTAGAATGAGGGTAGACGTGGAGGGTGAACTGAATGTAGCAAAGTAGACAGATGCAATGGTGACTACAAATCACACTTTCAGATTTGAAATGTGGGGTTGACTGCAGTTGAAAAATAAGGATTAGGTCTATAATAAACTGTCTTTATTAATGAGCTATAGTTTGAGTAATTAACAAATTCAGAATAAGTAGTATATTTAATGAGTTTATGTTTTTAACAAGTACGTTAGGTTAGTTAGAAAGGCCTCATGCACACTTCTGGGAAGCTAGAAGAGCTGACCATGTTCAGCTAATGTGGAGGGAGGTTCCCCCAGGAACAACAGGGACAATGACATGGGAAAGGCTGGATGTCCTTCCTGGCTGATGCTTTACACCTTTCTTCTTGAGTTGATTATTTTTTTCCTATGTAGAAGATTTCTTGGACTTGGCTTTCAGAAACTCAGAAAACCTAAATTTAAAGTTCAGCTTTATCAAGGATTCCACTGTTCAGAAACTGAAAACTTTATCTGAGGCCAACAGAAAAGAAGTTGAGATCAAGTATCATGTTTTGTCCTGCAGCCAAATATGTAGACTTTGTTGTTAAGCGTGGCTTGACACTGGACCTTTGATTGATGTTAACTGTGACTCACCCTTTCTTGCCTCCTTTCAGTTTCCAGATTCTCTCTGCATGTGTCAAAAGTGGTTGTTTGCCAAAAGTTTAATTGTGTGCATTGTGTGTTTGTGCATGCCAATATGTATGCAACCCATACAACGCCTGTAACAC